CGGCGGCCGAGGGGCGGGGGACGCGGGCAAGGCCGGCCATGGAGGCCCTGCGGAGGGCCCACGAGGCCGTGCTCCGGCTGCTGCTGTACCGGCCCTGGGCCTCGGGCGCCGCCTCCCGCCCGAAGCCCCGCGCCTCGGAGGTGCTGACGCTGCACCTGCTGCAGCGGCGTCTCCCGCACTGGACCTCCTTCTGCGTGCCCTACAGCGCTGTCCGCAACGACCAGTTCGGCCTCTCTCACTTCAACTGGTCGGTGCAGGGCGCCAACTACCATGTCCTGCGCACTGGCTGCTTCCCCTTCATCAAGTACCACTGTTCCAAGGCCCCCTGGCAGGACCTGGCGCGGCAGGACCGCTTCTTCACGGCGCTCAAGGTCATCAACCTCGGTGAGTGGCCCGGGCCGGTGAAGCACGTCCCGCCGCCGAGGGCCCCACTGTTTGCAAAGCACGCCGAGGGTCTGGCTCCGAGGTCGAGACCCTGGCCCAAGGTCAGATCATGTCGGTGCGGGGGAGCCCTGCCCCGGCCTCGCGCGGGCTTGCCCGGCGCACCCGCTGGCCACGCTTCGCCGGGGGCTCGTGGGTTTCCCTGCCTCTGCCTCCGCGTCCCACGCACACTGCAGCCTTCTAGGACTGGCCTTGGCTCTGGTCTTGTAATCCTTGCCCATTAGGTGCTTGTCAAGGCTAAGTTGTTGCTGCTGAATCCTTCCCCGGAAAGTGGGGTTTATCCACAGGCCTGTACTGAGGGACCATCCTGCATCACTCCTGGGGAGGGGGCCTTCCACCCTCACTTCCTGCAGCTCTTAACTGGGAGGACCTCGACATTGGCAGGAAGAAGGAGGCTGTAAGGAAATGTCCCCAGTGGAAAGTGGCTCTCAAGATATGTCTTATTGCATGGCAAGATTTGCTGCCATGAACATCACTTTGTGGGTGCGTTCATATTATGAAAACTGGAACTGCTTTTTAAGTTTCTTTGTTTTCTTTATGTGAAATCCCAGCAAGTTCCTTTTACTAAAAGCACTAAAGGTTTTCACCAGTCATTAGCTTTCTCAGGTGCTAGGCCTAAAAGATATTTAAAAGACTCTGCTTCTTCAATATTTCCATGTTTTCATGGGAATATTCTAATTCTGAGAGTATTTATTCTTGCTGTTTATTTTCTTTTGGTTAACGACAGAAGAGCCATGAACGTTGACATGGGTGTATCTTTTATAGGTCAGTGAAAAATAGGCCTCAAGATGTTTTGAACCTATTAATAGCTGATATCGAATTAATCCAGATTTCAGTAATTCAAAATCTAGACGTGGGAGCTGAACCATGTTACCCAACCAGTTTTTTAAAACCAGAATTAAAGCTAAACCCCTGTGTAGCTGCACTAGCATTATATAATCTGATGGCTCATTAAATTTAAACATGGTATGTGTATTTTTGCTTATCATAACACACGTCAGTGACGGGATTTTTGAGCCATTGCTCCAATGGGACTGTCCTGGGTTCAGTCCAATAAGGAGAAGTTTATTTAGCAATGTATAATCCTTTAAAATGTCTTATTTGGCTGATGGACTATATGGAGCATGCCTCGTAATTCTGAGGGTGAAACAAAGTTGAAGGGTGAGGTGACAGAAAATTCAATTCAAAATTATTTAGAAAGACTGGAGTGATGACTATAGATTCAAGAATTTTATTTTAGCATTTTCAGAATCAGAAGCAATCATTCTTCCCAAATGTAAAGCGTAATAGGTTAGGAAAAGTTTAACCGGAGTGTTATAGGTAAACCATGAGCCGAATGCCTTTTGTAAAAAAGTTTTCACCATTTAAAACCTAATACTTTGAGAACACCTTAACGATTAGGGGCTTCTCTTTTAAATATAGATATAAAGAAAGTCAAAGAAAAATAGGATATCCAGAACAGTTTTACACAGAAAAGTAAAACCTTTTGAGGGAAGAAACAACAGTTGTGGTTTTTTATGTGGAAAAGAAGGCTGAAGAGTGATTTAATGGTCTTTGGGAAATTCTAAAAATCCTGCTTAAATGGGAATAAAAGCTTTAAGTTAAACAAAAACTTTCTGCTCATGCGTGCTTTAATACAAATTGGCTTATACGATAAAGGGAATTTTTTTCTGGACTTGAGTGTATTCCCCAATTTGGTAATGTTTATTTTGTATTTCTGTCTGAAGGTAGGGAATTAGATGATAGGATTCTTTCCTATTCTGTGATTTACACTTGCCCCTCTGGATCATCAAATACATATTCGATTAATAAAAATATTTAGGATTTTATTCCTCTTCTTCCCTTCCAAATTAGTAATTATCAGAGTAATCCGTTTTTCCATTTTGTAAATAATAAAGATTTCTCTTTTACCCATTTGTTCCTTTTCTCCTCCCCCTTCCCTTCAGTGGAAGCTGACATTTTACTGATGGTTTATCAGTCTGGGTATCCTGCTGGGAGGTAGATTGAGATTTAAGAAAAGCAACTTACCATTGGAATGAATGGGTAATCAGAGACTTGCTATGAAGTTCTAATTTTTTTTAAGTGCTTAATTTGACAATGGTTTACCTACTGTTCAGCTGACTCAAAATGAATTATTATGCAAAGAACTGACTTTCACATTCATTTTGATGTTATGATATGTTTCAGAGAGTTCAGAAAAATTTAATTTTTTTATAGACTAAAGCATATTGCTACAGATAAAGAAAATTATTTTTTTAATGTGTAAATTAAAGTATAAGTGGCAAATCTTCCCATTCACTGTATTAGCCTGACTGCATTAAATAGACTGCAGAAAAAAAGAAATACAGAATTTCTGACTCCGATAGCACAACTCCATCCCCCATCAAACAGCATTAATAATAATGGTTGCTAGTTGTTTCTTCTAAGAGATAGCGTAGTTATTACTAAGCTAGTAATCTTTGATCAGTCCTCCATTTTAGCTGAAAAAAATATTGACCGTTTGTGTGATTTTTTAAAGTATATATTTTAACTGAAAACTGTGTTAAATACTGCAAAACAAACCGAATTTTCAGTGTCACCAGCCATTCCTTAAATTTATGTCCTTAGCGTTGGTTTAAAAGGTGTATTTTATGTATTTTACTCTCAGTATATTTAGAAAATTAAAAATTGTTTCTAGAGGCTGTTTTTTCTTCCTCCATTAATTTTCCGTTTTTGAAGTTGTGATACCGTATTTTAAATTTATTTTTTACTTCAACTGCTCCCTCTACTCTTCACTCACTTCTGCTTTTCTTGTTCCTCTCTTGTCCACTCCCCCACCCCAAGCCCCACTTGCCTTTTATTTTTTCTTTTTGGTTAAATGATTTATAGATAGCTTTCTGATGCTAGTTTTTGTGGATTTTTTGTGACATTCCCTTGAGGCTTTTAGAGATTCTTTTGGGTATTACCAAGGCAATGAAAGCAATATACTGTAAAAGATTTCATAGGAGTTCCAAGGAGCCCTGTGACAGTGACAAGCTGTGACCCAGTATATTCCTAAAAACAGAGAGGTGCCAGCCTGCACGGGCATTTTTGCTTCTTCTCATTGCCAGCTAGTGATATTTCTCCTGATTAATCTTGGCCATCACAGGGGCTAGAATGCAGCTTCAGGGGATAAGCACAAAGTAGTCTCATGCACTTACACTCTTGAAAAGAGCATAGCACAGCAAATATAGTCTTGCAGAAAAATAAAAAATTTTAGCAATATGATTAGTCCTGAGCATGTGTTGCTTTCCCTATTAACTAGAAAGACAGTGGTTTTCCAAATGTACAGCTCTTCTTTTAAATCGTCATTTTTTTTTATCCAGCTCCTACAGGGGAGCAATAAAATTAATACTTGTGTAGAACATACAATATTTGTTATTGATTCATGTCCCTGTGCTTTTATACATATGTTTTTAATATGTTAATAGTCATTGATTTTAAATAAGTGCCTTAAAAAAGACAAGAATTGTGAAAGTTTGTGTCCAACATAGTGTCATATGCATATGAGTGCTTAATCCATATCTCTGAGTACTATATGTTTAGTGTCATGTATCGTAAGTGGCAACTGATCTCAAATATAACAGCAAAATCTTATCAAATGGAAATATTCCAAAGAAGAAACATGCTGTTGGAGTCTACTATAGACCTATTTCAAATAGGTTGAAACAAGATTGTTTTCAAATCAGTTGTAAAAATACTAATGGGAGTGTTTCTTTTTCATACCTGTTATTTTACTAAAATCTTCCTTAGAGTTAGGTTTTGTCTTAGGTTTTGAAGACAGCTTCTTCAATTTCTTTTAAGATGTACAAAATTTATTTGAGACATCAGTGTTACTGTCTAACTTAAAGTACAGTGAAGTTGACCTAGTAATTTAGGCTCAAGGCCAATAATCAAGAGCATCTACAACTAAAGTAGTGAATATTCTCTGTTTGCTTATTTGTGAAAAGAGTATAGAATTACTTCATAATTACTTGGAGGTAATGAATTAGTGCTTCTAAAGTGCTTTGAATTAAAATTTATACCAACCTTATCTATAGTTTTAAAAATTTCTAGGCTCACATAGTTGTTACTGTGTTCCACAAACATAGATGAAATTGAGCTCTTAGAGTCAGTGTTTACTCATATTTTTATATTTTCATAACTTTGTAATTTGTTGACATTGTTGAAGAGTGCTATGTGATTTGTACCATGACAAATATATAGGTGTATGATTAATAAATTTTGATGTTCATAAATAACATATTCCTTTGTTTTCTAGGTATTCCAACTTTATTATATGGACTTGGCTCCTGGTTATTTGCTAGAGTCACAGAGACTGTGCATACCAGTTATGGACCAATAACAGTTTATTTTCTAAATAAAGAAGATGAAGGTGCCATGTATTGAAAATGTGCATTGGAGAACATAAATATCAGTGGATTTTCTCTTGTGTGTATGTGCAATATTTATTTTTGATCCTTTAAAATAAAACTTTTTGCAAACACCTTTTTCTTTCCACAGTGTCTGGTTCTTTAAGATAAATCATTGCCCTCAAGAGGCAAAGCTTTTCATACATTGTTATATATTGCATACTTTGTTTAGCCAAAGGGAACTACAAACACATGAAGCTTATACCAGTTTTTTCCTAGAACTAGTTTAAACTACAAATAAAAAATGATTATAACCTATATGTAGATTCTATAGTTAGTTATTAACCATTTAAATTGGCTCTTTGAAGAGAAAATATAGACACCCATACCAAAGAAGGAAGAGGAAAAATCTCTTATATAACATTGGAAAAAGAAGTAGAGGATTTTAGGATATACGGAGGAGATAATATAATTGGCAAATCCAATATTGATGAGAATTCTAATTGCAATCTGAAATCTAAACCTTTCAGCTGCCAGGATTTTAAATGGAAATGTTTCAAAGCCTTTGTGCCATTTACCTGGATAAGAGGTCCAGGTGTAATGTTGAAACTTCTTATTGTCTAAAGAATCAAATACCATACTAATTTTTTTTAATGTAATAATAACTATGGTTAATGTAAATGTAGCAAGAAGAATGAAATTAAGACTTATTGAAAGTTAAAATAGCATGCTGATAAGCTGTAAGAACAATTAAGATCTAGAAAGATCCAGAAAAATAAATTTGGTAACTTTATAAAAGCAATTAGCTGAAATGGTACATATCCATAGACTTATTGGCAATGGCAAGTGGGCTGAAATTTTAAAAACCTGATGGCAGTTTTGTGTTAGAATTTTATTAAGTTGCATTTTTGAAAGCAAAGTCATTACAAAAATTTATCCTTAGGGGTAGTTACAAAATACCCAGACGAATGGTAAATTTCAGAAATTTGGAGTAATTTAGGGAGAACTAAATAGAACTATTTAATTTCTAAACCAATGGGTGTTTAAGATTTATGATCTCTCCCATAATTACAAACATACATTATATATCATTTTATGTTAATGTGTTGCTGATACTCTGCAATGTTTACACATTTTTGTAGCAAGATATTTTATAAAATTCAATCTAACCCACATTTGAGTGCTTACTTCTGGCAAATCAGCAGAGAAAGTGAGTGGAAGTGATTGAGGTGAAAGCATCAGAATAATGAAGTAATACAAACTGGCTTCATTAAAGGTAGTCATTTTAAATGAGATACAGAGAGTGAACTGTTCTTCAAATACATGTAGTGTTCACTTGTCTAAAAGCAATTCTAAATAACACTTTAATCAAAGAAGTACTTATGCCAATATATTTAGTCCAGAAGAATATAGTTGACACTAGTTAAATGAATGGCTTACACAAAGGAGATAGTGTTACATTAAGCTTCATTAATAATAAAACATTATTAGCGGGCCGGCCCCGTGGCTTAGCGGTTAAGTGCGTGCGCTCCACTGCTGGCGGCCCGGGTTCGGATCCCGGGCGCGCACTGACGCACCGCTTGTCCGGCCATGTTGGGGCCGCGTCCCACATACGGCAAGTAGAAGGATGTGCAACTATGATATACAACTATCTGCTGGGGCTTTGCAGGGGAAAAAAAAAAAAAAAAAAACTAAAAAAAAAAAAAAAAAAAACATTATTAGCATTTTGCAAGGAATGCTAGAACTGATTTCCTCAGTAATGGGCAAAGTTAAATAACTACAGCTCATAAGTTTTAAGTCAAATACTGCTCATTCATTGCTACTGGTCTTGTCAATATTTGCTGTAAAGGTTTGGTCCCAACACAAAGCTGATAAAATGTTTTTTAATTATCAGACTATAAATACAGCTTTTCAGTAGAGTTGCACTTCTTTTCACACTGGCCTGTTTGATTTCTGATAATTTGTACTGCTGACTCTGCTTACCTGTTTTTCAATAGCTACAGTCAGTGTGACTTCTTGCCCATATGGTGATAGGTAAGTCTCCTTAGAGAACATCTTTGACAAACTACCTTATTGATCTCTGTAATTCTCTGCTGCTTGCAGCATTAAATAGAGCCTTGATTTCTCGTCTGGTGTGCTCACTGTGTAACAATTAAGCAAATGTAATATTTTTCTTGTATTACATGAAAATCAATAGACCTCTTGCTCTCATGGAGTTGATCATGGTGAAGGATGAACTCAACAATGGCTAAGGGCATGGTTCAAATATTAAAATATCATTCACTGGATTTATTAAGTCTTATAGTGAACCTTTTAGTTTGAAAAATGCTCCTTATTGAATGGTGATGGTTTAAGTTTTGTTCTTTGAGGTTGGATATTACATCGAAGCATTGTGGCCTAAAAGGGATAAAGTATAAATGCTGGAAGTCAGGAGATGGATTCTATTTTTAGTATCAGTGCTGTCTTACTTTTTGACCTCAGGCTAATCACTCTACTCCTTCGTGTCTTAGTTTTTTCCACCTGTAATCTGAGAAGGACAAAACCAGAAACCTTTCTACCTTAAAATGTAACATGAATATGCTTGTGAGTGAATGTCAGTTTTACTTTTAAAACTGTAAAATCTGTTTTTGTAATTCTCATCCTTCTGTTCCATATATATTTAAAGGACTTCATTAATAAAAGGATTTTAAAAATAAGGTGAGAGGAAGAAAGGAGGAGACACAGTGAAGGCATTTTGTGTGAGTGTGCACATGCCGGTTATGCCTGAGATGGCAAGAAGGGTTCCCAGTGGACCCTGCCCTTCATGATATCAGTTTTCTTAGTTGATGAAACAACCAAAGACAGCTTTCCTGCCGACACTTCTTTAATGAGATTTTTGTCTGTAAAGTAATCCGGGTAAAATTATTTTTTAACCAAGATGTGTTTTTAGTATAAAATTTTGCATCTCTTCTATGGTTATTTCTATACAAATAATTATCAAGTATTGGAAGAAATTTCCAGTCAAAATTCTTAGTTCCCGTGTAAGTTGTGAACCACCAGCAAGATGCAGTAACAGAGCTTGAAGCACGGAAGAGGTTGCTAATATAAAAATCCCTAGGGTCTCAGTGCTAATGTCTTAACATACCAAATTGTACAAACAGTTGTAATTTCTTTCATCACACATATCTGGTCACTAATATTTTGCTAATTGTTGACTTCAGTAAAAACTGAAACATTTCTAATTATTAAAAGCCATATGTATTTCTTTTTAAATGTACATTTCATTTTGTATCATTTATATTTATTCAAAACTATAAGCACAGAACATCTATAATTCTTCATGAAATATCTCTTAACTCTATTAAAGAATGAATGATGTTTAAATGAGTGGGGTGACATGAAGACAAGGATCTTGCTTTCATTTCATTTAAAACCTAGTGCAGATAACAGAAACCTTATCCTAAAGCTAGTAGATTGGGTATCTACTCTTTTTCAGCCCTTACCATTCAGACAGTAATGACGTTTGGGGGCATCTTAACCTAAACAAGTACTTAGCATTACATCTCACCTGGGTCAACAGTCTAGGGTATCAGAGTTAAACAGCGTTACTGTAAATTAATGGAAAATGTAACTGCACTTTGCTGAAAGATCAATGTCCAATAAAGGCTGCACAATCAAATCTTGTTGCAATGATTGAGGTCTTTAATTGCCTTTCAAAGATAAGGTGGTAATCAACACAGCTTTAACTGATCTTTTTTACTAGTTCAATTACATGCTAATGACTAGTGCCAAGTCAGAATCTTTAACTACTTATACTTATTAAATCTTATGTTAGTAATGAAAAATTACTTTAGCTACACAATCAATAGAACACAAATCTTAATTACTATATTTCACTTTTATACCAATTTATGTGCTTGACAAATGTTTCACAGGAGCTTTTCCAACAATAAGTGTTATTAGTGGTGACCACAGTCCACAGAGCATTTTTCTAATATAAACGAGATCAGATGTTGTGAAAATTTTTTTTCTTTAAATGAAAATGTGGCTAAAATAGTTTCCGCTGACACAAGCTTGGCTCCAGCTACTTCTCAGAACTCTGTTCTGCTAATTGAGAGTACATTTAATACAACTGGGATGAAATAAATCTAGATTGTTTTTAGTAAGTGTATTTCTAAAAATTCACTTAGCTTCTGGTAAAGAAACCAATTCCATGTAGAGCCTACTATAAACCTCTATTTTGGGAGAGGATAAAAGTAAAGGCAAACAACAACAACGAAAAAGATAAATTGGACTTCAAAATTAAAAATTTTTTGCTTCAAAGGACACTATCAAGAAAATGAAAAGACAACTGACAGAATGGGAGAAAATATTTGCAAATCATATATCTGATAAGGAACTTCTAGCCAGAATATACAAAGAACTCTTATAACGCAACAACCCACTTGAAAAATAGATTTGAACAGATATTTCTCCAAAGAAGTTATACAAATGGCTACTAAGCACATGAAAAGATGTTCAACATTAACTATTAGGGAAATGCAAATCAAAACCACAAAGAAATACCACTTCATATCCACTACGAAGGCTATAATCAAAAAGACAGTAACAAGTGCTGACGAGGATGTGGAGAAATTGGAATCCTCATACATTGCTAGTGGGAATGTAAAATGGAACAGCCACTTTGGAAAAGTTTGGCAGTTCCTCAAAATATTAAACTTGGAGTTACCATAGGACCCAGCAATTCTATTCCTAGGTATATACCCTAGAGAATTGAAAACACATGTTTACACAAAAACTTGTACACAAATGTTCATAGCAGCATTATTCATTCCAACCAAAAAGTGGAAACAACTCAAATATCCATCAATTGATGAATGGATAAATAAAATGTGGCATATTAACACAATGGAATATTACTTGGCCAAAAAAAGGAATGAAGTACTAATACATGCTGCAGCATTGATGAAGCTTGAAAACAATAGGCTAAGTGAAAAAAGCCAGTCATAAAAGACCACATAGTGTATGATTCCATTTATATGAAATGTCCAGAATAGGCAAATCTATAGAGACAGAAAGTGGATTAGTGATTGCCTACGCCTGGGAAGGCTGGGAGGAAATGAGGAGTGACTGTTAATGAGTATGGGGTGATGAAACTATTCTAAAATTGATTGTGGTGATAGTTGCACAACTCTGACTATATTCAAACCATTGAATTGTAGACTTTAAATGGAAGAACTGTATGGCATGTGAACTCTCTCTCAATAAAGTTGTTAAAAAATTAGCAAAGCAGGGAGGGAAAATGGGCAGTTAGTGTTTAACAGGTATAGAGTTTCAATTTTGCAAGATGAAAAGAGTTCTGGAGATGGATGGTCTTGATGGTTGCACAGTAATGTGAATGTACTTAATACCACTGAACCATACACATAAAAATGGTTAATATGGTTAAATTTTGTGTTATATGTATTTTACCACAATTGAAAATAATTTTTAAAAATTAGTAAAGGATTCAATATTACTATGATAAAACATAACTGACTGTATGCTTTCTATAGAAAATAACTGAGTTTAGAAAAATGTTAGAGATTAAAAAAGGTAAATTGCTAATTTAAGATCATTTTATATCTTGCAGTCTGAATTTTAAAAATTTTAGTTATAAAGCCTAATTTT